ACCATCATGTAGTTATATCCTCTGCCTAGAGATGTCAGCTTTAGTTCAGTCCCACATTCCATTCCTCAGTGTGAAGTACCTTCTCATTTCTCAGGTTCCCACCTGAGCCCTCCACCTGCTGTCCATCAATATGGCTCTGTGCACCCTGGAGATTCTCAGTCATTGCTTCCTCTATTGCTGCCTTCATAACAATAATGTTGACCTACAAATTGCTCTATTCATGTCCTGTTCTTACTTGATAATGACTTTTTCTCTCTCCAAAATGTAAGTTCCAAAGAGTAGGTACTTTTTCTGTTTCCTTTCTCCCTGCTGAGCAGGAATGGTTAGCTGCATATAGTAGATGCCCAAGGAAGATTGAAGGAACAAAGGCTTTAAGTCAATGTCTCTTTCCTCCTCCCTGTCTCAGAGATTAAACCCGTAGTAGGCAAGCTCTGAGCTATATTCACAGCCATTTAAATTTTTATTATTAAAATTTGTTGGAAACAGGTCTTACTAAGTTGCCCATGCTAGCCTTAAACGTGTGATCCCCCTGCCTCAGCCTTCTGCGTTGCTGGGAATATAAGCATTTTTGTCCAGCTAAATCAATATCTTAAATTTCCTTTGTGTGTCATTTAATGAACACCACAGTGAGAGCTTGATATACTTAGTGTTTAACCAGATTGTTTTTCATAAGATGGAAGGTGAGAGCAGACAAAGCTCAAATATTATGTAGCATTTGGCTTTTACATACCACTTGATTCAATAATGCTTTAAAGCATCGGCCATAAAAAATGGAACACTAGAAAGAAATGGCATAAATTAAGTGAAATATTGATATAGAGAAAGATTATTATGATTTAAGAATGTTTCATTAGATGTTCGTTTCTAGTAACACTGAATGATATTTCACAGTATAAAATATCCATCAATTCTCTTTTTTTCATAGGGTAAAAATAACCTGTCTTCTTTTGCATAATTAAAACCTAGTACAGCAAAACACTGGAAGACTTTCAAATCATCAAAGAGAGCTTAAGTTGTTCTCAGTGTCCTTTTATTGTTAATATTTTTAGCGTATCTCTGAAAATTCCCTATGTATTTAAATAAAAAGTAAAATACTGTTTTATTCATTTTGATTCCTCTGAATTAGAATAGCATTATGTATTTTTTAAAATCCTCCTTTGGATTTAGATGAAGATATTTAACACACAAAGACTAATTAGCCTGTTTTAAATGAGGTATTATTTGTTTCTTTATATTTACATTGACTATTATGAAACCAACTCTTAGGAAGCTATTTCAAATACGGCAGTTTTTGTTTTGCATGTAGTAATGGTTAAGACTATAAGTGAAAGAAATCAGAATACAATTTGGATTTTGTTAAGTTCACAGGTAGTGTTCAGTAGCTCATCTGTGCTGATGTGATCACGAGGCACAGGATTCGCAAATGGCTCCGACATGGAAAGATCTCACCCCATAAGGCAGTGAGTAAGTGAGGAGTCGCTGGTCACCAGCAGCTACGAGCACGTTTCAGTCTCATTTAGGAACCAATAAGAGAAAGGTCTTTTACTTTTCCAGAAGTTTGGTAGGTTCTCTCCTATCTTTGGGGAGAATAAGGTAGAGTCTGTTTTCAAAAGACAAAGAACGGAGTGGTGCTTTGGCTGCCTGAACCTGGCTCACTACATCTTCTTCTGCTAAATGTAGTGCATCTCTCCTAGCCATGATCAACGCCCCCTCAGTGTAGTCACAAACGGCCACAGCAGCCACATGCACTGATGCTCTTGATGCCCAGGACAGTCCCCTGGGTGATATTTACTTCTTTTCTTTATCAAACTAAATTGTAGCTCCTCGCGATTCTCAGCAACCTGCAGGGCAAATGATGATTTTAACCAACTTTGGCACAATCAATATAAATTTGAACCACATACAGTTTTATCGAAATTGAAATTGTCATTTAGAAAGGAGGAACAATGTTAGTCCCTAGTCCAGAGCATATATCATATCCTGCTGTCAGTGATAGTAAACATTGTTTCCCTGACAAAGAATTGCTCTGGTCAGTCCGTCGGCCCTTCTGGGTCCAGCCCACTGTAGGACCTCCCTTACTGTTCTCCAGGGCACTCAAAAAAGCATGTAACACAGAAGACACATGGTGTAGCTGCAGCAATTGGTCCACTTCATGCTTACACAGGAATATAAATCTAGGGATTCTTTTGTCACATTCAGAGGTGTTTTAAATGTTTGGTGTTGTCTTTGTTTTAATCCTGTTTTGTTTTATCAGTAAAATGCCCTAAAAACCTATATATTATTTATTAATTTCACAAATGAACTAGTACCTTATGGCTAAAATCTTTTTTTTTCAGTTTATGTCTTTGCTTTTGACTCTACCCTTAAAGTTCTAGCAATAAGCATGAGGGCTTTGTCCCTTCCCTAAATCTTTACAGTCCCCCACATTTCTTAGTTTTTTTTTTTTTT